AACTGCTTATAATCAACAGATTGATACACTTCATGATAATATGAAATCAAAAGAAGAAAAATTTAATGAAACCGTTCGTCTTATGGCTTTAATGCGACCGGAATTGGATAAAAATAATAATAATAATAATGGTAGATTTTTTTATATCAACTCTACTTTCTTACCATATTTTACTAATGTGATGATTACGATAATTTGATAATAAATGAAATTAAAAAATTAAAATTAAAAATTTCCAAGACAACAATTTTTTAACTTTCAAAGCTGAAAATTCGAATCAAGAAATTGAACAGGTAATAAATAATAAATTTTTTATAATTTATTTATTTATTAATTTATTGAATAAAATAATGAAATAATAAAATATAAAAAAAAATTTTTTTTAAGACCATTTTAAACTTTAAAGATTTGGAAAATGGAAAGCCATTTAATATTTGTGAGAATTCAACATATTCACAATTGTTCAAAGTAGCGACGGAACGCGTAATTCCTGAAAGCAGTAATTATTAATTATATTTATTATTATTATTATATTTTAATTAAATCTAATTATTGATATTTATTATTTATTATATACATTTTCAGAAAAAATTTCTACATTACCTACTATCAACACTTTATCCGTCTCTTCTTCAGCTCCATCAATTTCTGAATTAGAAAGAATTTCATTATCACAACTTTCACAATGTCCCACTATAAAATTACCAAGTCTTTCCGCATCTCAACTATCAGAAATGTTTCCTTCCCAAACTTCTCAATATAATTTCATACAAAATTCATCATCCTTTGATTCTTCATCCACTCAAACTATCTCACGTTTCAACAACGACAACGATAATGATACTGAAATGATTTCAGAAGAAGAAAAAGAAAGATTACGAATTGTGAGTTATTTATTATTTATTATATATATTTCTTTTCACATCTTATTTTTCTTGATTTCTCATATTTTATTTTATTTGATTTTTCTTTAAAGGAGGAAGAAGAAAAAGCTCGCGAAGCTCAAAAAAGGCAGCAATTTAAAGAGATGGTTCTAAAACACAAAGAACAAAAGACTATAAAGAAACGTAAAAATGTTATGTAAAAAGATTTGTATTATTGGAATTATATTACAAGTTATATCCGAGATTTTATTCCACATGATTTCTTTACATGTCATAATGTAATCATAATATAAATAATTATATGATCCATGTAATGTTGCTAATATTGATAATAAGAATTATAAAAAATTCCTAATTCAAATAAATATTTATCATTATAGTAATAAAGTGTATCACAATCATTGTTACAAATAACTTATCACGATGAAGATGTAATAATTTATTTATACAGTCAGACATCTCTACAGTCACCCCCTTTATAAGTACATCATATAAAAATTCTCTTTATAATCACCAATTTTAAAACTAGTTATTATGAACATATAGAAAAAACCCCTCTATATAAGCACAACCTCTATATAAGCACATTTTTTTAAAAAAAGGCATTATGATAACGATGGTGTGATTATAGAGATGCCTGACTGTATATATATATATCAATGCCCTTTTTTTTACATATTTTTTTTTTTTTTTTTTATAAATAAAGAAGAAAATATAAATTTAATTAAATTTTATTTAGTAGTAAGAAAATTCAAAACTGAAATATCATTATTGTTATAGTGATTATTATTAGAAAATTGTCATGAGAGCAAAACATACGTATAACATTCCAACAGGATATGCAACTAATATACGTTGTTCAGACATTTGTAATACGGTTACAAACATTGTAGATGAAGAATATGTACACCAACTAATTGCCAAAGCTGAAGCGATAAGTCCAAACGGTCCACTAATAAAAACAATATAATTCCACGTGTGAGAGATGTGAGAGAATGTGTGAGTGAATGTGTGCGAGAGAAATGAGTAAAAATAAAGAATTACCTTAATGGAACCATTACACCGATACAACTAAGTAATACTAATGGTAATAAACAATATCCCAATACACTAGCCGTTCGATAACCATCAACTCCTGATTCACTCATAAGATCTAATATCATATAAATAGAAAACCACCCAAGTAAAGCCACTCCGTAAATATATCCAAAATGAATTTTTCCTGTCTATTATATATAAAATAATCAAATAATAAATAAATTATAATCAAATCTAATAAATTTTAATCAAATAAATTGAAATTGGAA